CTAGGTAGGGAAGAGCATCTATACTGTGTAGGTTAAAGGGAGGATATGAAGAAGCCAGTGAGAGTGGATGAACAATTTACACCAAAAACCGTTCTCCCATTTTCTCTCCCTCATCCCCCCTCCCCCCCTCCCTCCACTTGTTTACGTCATCCCCCCCTTCCCTCTCTCCTCCTTTATTATTCACATACATTCTACCCATCCTCTACACCTTCCTCCCCCACTACCACGAGCACGTACACCATTAATGTGAAACTGTGGGTGGTCTCTCTCTCTCTCTCTCACACCTAAACTCTCCTCTCCCTTCATGTCCCTAACCCTGCTTTCCCTCCCCTTCCACCCCCCTCCTAACCCCTCCCCTTCCTAACTCCTCCCCCCCCTCTTAACCCTTCCCTCCCTCAGCCTCCCTTCCCCAACACACACAGCTCGCTAAAAAGAGGGACACACACCTTTTTTTCCCTCCACTTGTAAACATACGAGTTACAACAACTGGCCAAATCCTTTACCAACGAAGCCCAGAGTCCTGCCTTCTGATGCCTAGGTCATTCATGTTTTTAATTAGCCAAGTGAGGAAGGGGAAAGATCGTGAGGGTGTGGAGGAGGAGTAGAGGTGAGGGTGTGGAGGAGGGGAGGGGGGTGGGAGGGGAGGTGGAGGGTGTGGAGGGAGGTGGGAGGGGTGGGAGGAGGTGAGGGGTGTGGAGGAGGTGAGGTGTGGAGGAGGTGAGGGTGTGGAGGAGGAGTAGAGGTGAGGGTGTGGAGGAGGTGACTTAGTGGAACTCAAAAAAAGGAGAATTACAAGAAGATCAAAGTAAAACAAAAAAATTGCGAAACGAAAAACCCACAAAAAATTTAAGATTAAGTCGAGAGCTTTATAAGACTCAAGCAGTGGAACAAACATTGACTAATTGACCTGTTGTTTCTGTAACCTTGAGTCTTTGTTAGAATTAAGGGATTTTGTGTTTATAGGGAGTCTTTTAGGTTAGGGTAAAGGGATTTTCAGGTATGTTATGGAGTCTTTTAGGTTAGGATTAGGGATTTTGTGCTGATAGGAAGTCTTTTAATTTAGGATAAGGGATTTTAAGGTATGGTATGGAGTCTTTTAGGTTAGGATTAGGGATTTTGTGCTGATAGGGAGTCTTTTAGGTTAAGATAAGGGCTTGTTATTTATTTAGGGAATATTTAGGGTAGGATACGGCTTTTTTTTTAACTTAGGAAGGGAATATATTTTGGGGTAAAGTGAGTAACCGACCTGGAATGAAGGCAGTTAAATTGGAATGAAGGAAATTAAGCTGGAATGAAATCAACTGACCTGGAATAAAGACAGACTCACTGTGCTAGGATGAAGGCAATTGTGCTAGGAGACAATCAGTAATGAAGACAGTCGCTAGGATGAAGTCAATCTGGGAGACAATCAGGAATGAAGACAATGCCGCTAGGATGAAGTCAATTGAGCTGGGAGACAATCAGGAATGAAGACAGTCTGCCGCTGGGATGAAGTCAATTAACCCCGGGAAAAGCAGACAGTGGTGCCAGAATAAGGATAGAGTTGTGCCAAGATGTAGAAAGTGGCACTGAGAGAAAGTTATGGCACTTGGATAAAGGCGCACACGACTAAGCCGACTTAATGGCACGGAGACAACGCCGCCACTGACTCGGGGAGGAAGACGGGCGGAGAAGAGACGTCGGGATGTGGCTGAGACGGAGGGATGTGGCTGAGAAGGAGGGATGTGGCTGAGGGGTGTGGCTGAGGGGTGTGGCTGAGACTAAGAAGAGTATGGAAGACATTATGGGAGTGGTCAGTAGTATAGACACGGGCGTTAGTACGTAATGAAGCGAGTATCGTAAATCGGGGAATGTCATCGCAAATCTGGGGACACTGAATCATAAATCGGGAACATTGAATCGTAAATCGGGAACACTGAATCGTAAATCAGGGAACACTGAGTCGTAAATCGGGGAACATTGAGTCGTAAATCGGGAACATTGAATCATAAATCGGGGAAATGATTTTAGTAACTCCAAGGTTTGTCACCTCCAGGATATAGACTCTCAGGCCCAAGACAACACTCAATTCCAGGATTAGTCTTAACACCAGGATTAGTCTTAACACCAGGATTAGTCTTAACACCAGGATTAGTCTCAATTCTAGGATACATCTCAGCTCCAAGATAGAGTCTCAGTTCCAGGATAGAGTCTCAGTTCCAAGATAGAGTCTCAGTTCCAGGATAGAGTCTCAATCCAGGATAGAGTCTCAGTTCCAGGATAGAGTCTCAATTCCAGGATAGAGTCTCAGTTCCAGGATAGAGTCTCAGTTCCAGGATAGAGTCTCAGCTCCAGGATAGAGTGACAGCACCTGGAGGAGATTATAGTCGTGGTGTGGGGTGAAGACAAAGTGCTAGAGTGCAAGAGGACTACGGGAGGTGATGCTGAGTGGCAGATGGCAGCTCCCAGTTTTATCTCCCCCCACAAGTTTATGCCCCCCGTCTTGAGAGGTTAGTTAGGCTATTTGCCAAAACGAATCGCGGTTTTAGTTGGTCCTGCCTCTTGGGACTTACTGGAAGTAGGGAGGAAAGAGGAGGAATGTGGAAACGAGAGGAGGAAAAAAAAGAGAGAAGGAAATTGAAGGAGACAAGGAAGAAGAGAGGAAACAAGGAAGAAAGGGGGAAATTAAAGGAAAATAGGGAGGAGGGGGAGGAGAAATAAGAGAGGGGAAATGGAGGAAATAAGAAAGAGGGAAAAAAGAAGGGAAATGGAAGGAAACAATGGAGGTGTGTGAGGACAATAGGTGGGAGAGAAAGGGAGGAGAAACTTGAAGAAAGAAGTGTGAAGGCGGGAGGGGAAAAAAGAGTGGGGAGAATTGAAGATGGGAAGGAAGGTATGTGGAGACGAGAGGGGGGAGAAAGGAAAGGAATGGAGGAAGGACAGAAAGAAAGAAAGAAAAAAAAGGAAGGAAGGAAGGTAGGAAATAACAATTCTTGCATTTTTTGTATTTACTTTTCAGTCTCTCTCTCTCTCTCTCTCCCATTAACTGCTTGCTTACTTGTTAATGAGGGTGTTTCTAGTATCACTTCATTAGTACCAGAATAATACCTATATGTTTCTCATCCTGTTTTCTCTCCTCGACCCCCCTCTTCCCTCTCCTTTTCCTCTCCTCTCCTCCTGCTTTCTTCTATTCTCATCCTCCCTCCACTCTCGTCCCTTCCATCTTCCTCCCACCTACTCATCTTCTCCCTAAATCCTGCCTCTCCCTCACCTGGCCTCCTCCTCCTCACCTGCCTCCAGGTTCTACCCTACAGCAGTGGAAGTAAAAATCATGCCACCACTAACATGATTTCTCCTCCCTAAGATCTTGTACCTGGGGGACAAGTAGGGCGGGAGGAGTTAGGGGAAGAGGGATGTGGCTGTTTCTGTTCTGGTGGACAAATGGTGCCAATTTTGTCGGGCTGTCCTAAGTATCGATTTCAAGGTCGAGGAACTGACAAGAAGTGGTCTTAGTATTTCGGGGGAGGTAGGAGAGGGAGGAGTAGGTGGGGAGAAGGGTGAGGAAGGGAGGAGCATAGTTTCAGTCTTAGGAGTGGTAGGGGGAAGGTGTTTTGCAGGTTGGGTTAGGTGTGCTGGGAGGATCAGACAGGGCTGGGGGGAGGGCTGGGCATTTATGGAGCATCACTTGCTGACAGTATATATATTAAGGCAGCTAGGTTGGCCATCACCCAATGGCTGCACGACAAGGTTCACTGCCGTCACCACCCGAGACTCCTTTCATTATAATTAATACTTATCAACTTTATTTTACCCTTTATCTCTCTTATCTCTTTAATCTTCAAACAAACAATGAGAAAACATCTCACTTGTAAATGAACCCCGAACCTTGAATGAACCCCAAACGCCAAAATTCGACCCCAGAAATTTGAACTGAAACACGGCGTAACAGTCTTAGTTCCTGGTCTCAGAGCCGGAAGAGGACTAAAGGGTTGTTCTCCGTCAGTCAGTCAGTCAGTCAGTTAGTTCTTCTGTCCGCGCCCCATTAGTCTGCCACAGTTCTGAATCATCCCTCACCACTCACTACACACAGAGGTTTTTTCGTCAGACTCTACACAAGTTGACAGAACAGTGATAGGTTTGAGGGGAACAAATAAAGAAGATTGTTGTGAGGTAATCAACGGTGACGGACACACACACACACACATTGGCCACACACACACACAACAGGGCTCCGGAAGAAACGCGAGTCTGAAATGCTTTCATGTTCTGCTGATTAGTGCTGAGATCTTTGGAGGCTAGATTCTGTACCGTCGTGCCCAAGATGGTTCCAGAGTCTCTAAGACGGGAACTTTGTTCCCTCGTCCTCCATGTGCTCCTCCCCGTCCCCCTATGCGTCCTCCTCCCCGTCCCCCATGTCCTCCTCCTCGTCCCCCCATGTCCTTCTCGTCCCCATGTCCCTCCTCCCCGTCCTGCGTCCCTCCTCCTCCCTCGTCCCATGTCCTCCCTCCTCAAACTCCCCATGTCCTCCTCCCTGTCCCCCATGTCCTCCTCCTCGTCCCCATGTCCTCCTCCTCCCGTCCCCATGTCCCTCCTCCTCCTCCTCGTCCCCATGTCCTCCTCCTCCTCCCCGTCCCCCATGTCCTCCTTGTCCCCATGTCCTCCTCCTCGTCCCCCATGTCCTCCCTCCTCGTCCTATGTCCTCCCTCCCTCCGTCCCTCATGTCCTCCTCCTCGTCCCCATGTCCTCCTCATAACCTGCATAGAAAAACGACCTCCACGTGTCATAGTAATCACCTCCATGGCTGCAGGTTGAGGCGCTTCTGCGGGTGGTACATAGTCCTAACAGCGCCTTTTACTGAAGCACCCAAGAATATTCTGTGTAGCTGAGTCATATATTACCGTACTTACTGTTCACGTCATTTGATATAAAAAGCGTCCTCGCAAAAGAAAATACACAATGGCTCTGCAAGAGTGAATTCTGCCTTTCACAGCTTTAATAAATGTTCAGTGTTCCTATTCTAGATTATTCGTTGTGTGAGGAAATTTGACTTCGATTTTTATGCCAATTTATGGGAGTGAGGGTCCCGAGAGTTTATACCGGCCCCTCGAGAACTGACACGCCTCTGACTTCCACATTTTCACCGTAAGATAATACTGACACCGCAAACATTGGGGTAAAACTAATATATTTTATTTTTCTGACAGGTTCAGGCTGACGATCCGGACGTTGCCAGAGCGACTGGTGGGGGCCAAGTACAGTGTGGGTTTGCGCCCCCGGGTGACGCCCCAGATTGCTTCTAGGCTCACTCATCATGCCTGGCACGCCTATACCCGTCACAGCCATCCTCGAATCCACTACGACCATTTAAAGTCCTGGTGCCGCTGGCCGTCTGCCCAGCGAGACCAACAAGGACTTTTGTTCCCTGCAATCTTGGTTTTCTACGACTGCGGCTGTTTCACAACACCTGGTAGCTGGGTGTGCGGAGCGACTGGCGTAACTGTGCGTGCATGGTAACACCTGCATTTGCACACTTCCCTCATGCAGAAGGACCGTCATCTGGAGAAATGGAGTCGTGATTTATCACTGACAGGTTTATGTTGTGAAGGTCGTTGATTTATGATATGCGCCGCGATAAAGAAAGTATTATGTAAGATTTTCGGCATTAGCGAGGCGGCACTATCATCCCCAGGCTAGAAAGACACGACTGAGCGGGTGGATGAGAGCTATATACCAGGGTCTCTGCAACTATTTTGTCTTTATAGAAACGCATGGCGGATTTGAGAGTTTGAAGATAAAATACACTTCAGATTCATACACAAATACAAATAAGATACATAAACAATATGGCTTAGATCATACACGTTATGATCCGAAGACAAAAATGGCGTCATTCACACCAAAGGAGACTTGAATATACATATTCCACTTACGATAGTTTAGCGATTCACTTACGATCCATCTTTACGTTACGATGACCCAGCAAGATCCATCTTCACGTTAAACCATTATCCTCAAAAGGTTAAACCATTGTCCTCAAGTATGTTAAACCATTGACGTCAAAACGTTATATTTATAGGCCTGCGTTACCCAAAGGGAAATAACCTATGTCCCAATGTTAAATTATGGGTTATACAAAAATCATTATCACTGCGCGATTCCAGCAATTATCTTTATGGGTAAGGCTATTGTTCTACAGGGTTAAATCATCGTCCTCAAAGGGTTAACCAACAGGTATCCTGGCCTGAGATGCAAGAAGGGGTTTCCACTGTTTATGGTAATGATGCGATCAAGTAGAGACTGTTGACAAAAAGTAAACATATCTATGACTTACTTTCTAAGATCCCCACTGTGAGTGCCGCCAGTCTGCCTGATCATACCGGCGGTGTGTGACGACTGTGTTCTGTGCTACGAGTTACAATGTTGTATGAACTTGTACTGACTTTGAGCAAGATGTTCATTGGCATATATACATGCACTTTTATTTGCGGAACCCAGCCCACCTGATGGTGCACGGGTCCGGCACTCTTACCTGTTCTGGACGGATCAGTCCCAGCTGTTGGCGGCGGACAGGGCTCGCTCAGAGCTACAACTTAAGGTGGAGAACCTGCCGGCACTTCACTCGAGTCAGCTGGGCTTCCAGTGTGTGGTGAGCATTGAAGGTGCTACCATGCCGGGGCTTAGGTGGTGGAGTGACGACGAGGAGCTGAAGATGTATACAGTCCCAAGCACACCATTACCAGTTAGCAGCTACACCCGATGTGCAGCGCGTGGTGAGCCCACCGTCTACCGCCATGAGTCTACCGAGGAGAGTACGAGGCGGGTGACGCTTAAAGCGGAACCACAATCATGTAGTTGATGCACGCCCTCCGATACCGCATGGGCAGGCATGGCGCGCACCACCATGACTGTTCCCTCTGTGTCACGCGTCACCCGCGCTACCGCTGCATCTGGTGTGGCGCTGCCTGCAGGTGTACCGAACTGCCCCTCCGCCCTCGGCGGCGTGCTGGCGTCTCGGTGGCCGCCTTGCCGCGACCCACCGACCGGGACCAATTGGGTATCATAGCCAACGATGCTCGACTCAGCCAGTGCCCCACGCCCAGGATACAGACATGGTGGGCAACATTCAATTTACATTGTTTAGTGTTGTGAGCGTCGGGCCAAAAACCGACTGGGGAGCTGTAGGCGATGGGGAGGTAGAAAATCTTATCTTGCTGCCTGTGTTGTAAACAAGAACAGTAGCACCAGCTTTAAAATCTGCGAACATAAGTGAGACACAACATCCAGGCTGCTGAGAATTAAAAAACATGACTGAGGCAGGAGGACGAAGGTTGAGGCGGTGTATCAATCTCTGTCGGGAGTTCCTGAGAGTCCAAGTAAGAAAAAGCACCTGGGATCAGCTCATAATACAGGCATTCTTTTCTTAGGCTTGGGGGGGCAGAGACCACTAAAAATCGGGACAGGGAGGGTTTAGGTGAGGGTGGTTGCTGGTGTCACTGTCGAGGTTGTGGTCTACTGGCGGTTTATAGAGGTGAAAGGACATGTTTACACTGAGGTTAACTAGATAGTCTTACATGATTTCAACTTCCTGTAATTGTCTGTCTGGCTGGCTGTCTGGCTGGCTGGCTGGCTGGCTGGCTGGCTTTGCATGATGGTGGTCATTATGGGCTTAGGTCCTCTCTGCCCAGGCGGCTTCTGTACTGTTCATTTTTTTTCGTCGAAGGAAAATGCACATCCTCCTGGTTTTATAAATAGGCGAATCTTTTGTTTTTAATTGAGAGAGAGAGAGAGAGAGAGCACACACACACACACACACACACACACACACACACACACACACTGTACTACCTGGCATTGTTTTTATCCCAATAACCCTGGTAGTCTCGTTCAGGTGTTCGTTCACTAGCCACTTGTCAGTCATGTGTGTTTATAAATTCAGGTATTGTGTTGTGTGGACCTGCAGTCTGGTCGATCGGTCGCTTACTCAATGTTTTTCCTCCGGTAGTAAGTTCACCGTTTATACACATTTTTTTCGGCCGGATATTCTCCCTTGATTAACACCCAATATGGGATTATTTCTAAAGCCTATGTATTATTACTTCGCTATTGATGAAAGGTTTATTTGATTTCTGTTTCTTTTTTAATATATTCTAGTAATTAGTTGAGATACGGTACTGGCGGCTGATGCTTTAGACTTTTATCAACGAGGAGTTACATCAAGCACGGACATCAAAGTTAACCTAACCTAAACTAGACACACAGCGTATGAAATACTCTGAAATATTTGTTGAAAGTTGGTACAAGTCGAGACAGGTAAAAGAATATTAATGTAGATACTGAAATATTACTGTAACTTGAAAGAGACGAGTAATTTAGTTATTTTGTATACACACATGGGATGTCTGAGTGAGTGACTGACTGATGTACACCTCTCCAAAAAAAACTCTCCAAAGATCAAAAGTACAAGAAAAAAACGAGAAATGAAATTATCCCCCCATGATGATTTTATTAAACAGACATCGGTACAGACAATAAATACTAAAAAAAATATAATACAATAAAACATAGGGAAATATCCGGGAGAATGTTGTCACTGGGAGCACTTTATAAATGTTCACGAGCTGTAACAAATTCCCTGAAAGTTGGGAAATTTTCAAAAGTTATATAGAGTTTTTTTTGTTTATAGTGAATGCGATGAATTCTGTAAATATACGATTAGGGAATTTCTCTCAATCTGGGTCTGTTTTTATAAATTTGTCTGTCTCTTTATGAATCTCTTTTATTTATTTATCAATCTTTTTATCTCTTTATAATTTATCCGTCTATTAATATTTCTATCAATATCTTCGTGTGTGTGTGTGTGTGTGTGTGTGTGTGTGTGTGTGTGTGTGTGTGTTACTCCCTCTAATATTTTTCCCTGAGTTTCACCACCATATTTTCGTAGCCCGGAGGCACCATAAGTCAGCACCATCACCCATGACAGGTAACAAGGGCTTGGCGGAAGGATGAACGGGAGTAGAAATTCACCATTACTGTGCGTCATCCAGCTGAAAGTCCGCTCCTTCACGCTACCCCTCCTCACCACCCCTCCTCGCCTCCGTCGGGTAGTACAAGTGGCAGTGTCTGATGCCGCTTCAGGAGTTGCTGATGCCTGCAGGTCGTTAGTCTTGCTGGGAGTGTCACTTGGAGGAGCTCTTGGTGGTGGTGTTGATGCCTTTAGGGGCGTTGTTGCTGTTACTTACGACGCCGTCAAGAGGTGGTGTTACTGCTGGTAGTGACTCCTCCAGGAAGTTTAAGGTGCTGTTCCCGCTGGGTAGAGATGTTGCTGGTAAAGGCTGTGTTATAGATGCTGTTAATGCTGGTGGTGAGGCCATTTGGTGCTGTTACCGGTAGCGTCACTGAGTTGTGGGTAGTGGCAATCTTTACGAGGAACTAACTGCTGCTGCCACTGCTGTTAACACCTTCAGGTAATGGCGGTGTTGATCTCTGCTTGGTAACGCACAACACACACACAACACACACACACACACAACACAACACACAACACAACACACACATTTGTTTTCTTATCCTAGTTCACTATTACCCATTCCATCTCTGCTCGATGATCTCGTGGTTGACTTCACCTCTGGATGTCTTCCCATTGGACCTGGATACAGTTCACATAATAAGTCACATCGGACACTAAATTTACCAACTATACGTCATTGACTTGCTAAAAACCACGTCAGTATTTACAGGTTTAACTCCCATAACTCCACGATTTATGCTCAATGCTCCTACATGATATACATCTTTGAATATTTCTCTACTTTATCGACATTGGTATCCATTTATTCAACAATTGTCGGCTATAACTTACACATTCGCACGATATAAATATGTTTTAATTATCCGAGGGGACCAATTAGCGTATATTCTCCCCCCCGCGGGCCATTTACACTGCCGTTCCACCATTGCCTCAACTATTGCACCAACACGGATGACTTACAGTAGTGCGTCGGCCACCACCATTCCCAGCCGCCGGGATATTCGCTACACTGTGTAATCTGGCCAGCTAGTGCCTACATTAACTAATAAATACTGCTAGTTAGGTCAATACGGCCGCTGGTGTGTCGGTGCTGGGGAAGGGGGAGGAAGAGGGAAGAAGAGGAAGGAGGAGGTGAAGAGAGGTTCAGAAGAAGGGGAAGGATGAGGGAAAGAGAGAGAGAGAAGGGAATAGCAGAGGAAGGAGGGAGTGGAGGGGAGAGGAGGGAAGGGCAGAAGGATGACGGAAGGAGAGGCAGGGTAAGGAGGAGAGAAGGGAGGTGAAGGAGGAGGAGGAGAAAATGAAGGAGACAGTAGGGAAACGGGGGGAGAACATGGTGTTTATAGTTGATTTTTTTTTTCGTCTGATGTTAGTTAATATTTTGCTTTTTTCTCATATTTATCTGTATTGTGACTTATTCTCTCTCTTTATTTTCCTCTTATTTCTTTCAAAGGTTCGTCTGGTGTTTGTTTTAATCATCTATTGTTTTTCATCATCTATTGAGTATTGTTATTATTTTTGTTTGTGTGTTGATTGCTTTTGCTCTTTCCGATTTTGTTTTGTACGAGTCTTTGTTGTTCATTGTGTTCTATACGAGCTGTTCTTTGTGTCTCTTCCCCCCCCGCACGCCCTCCTGCCCCACCCCACCGCCCCCTGCCCCACTGCACCCCCACTGCACCCCTGCCCCACCCCCACCGCCCAACTGCACCCCCCACCGCTCCCGCCCACTGCCCCCACCGCCCCCCTGCCCAACCCTCACATAGAATATACGGGGGTGGGGTGGGGGCAATGCTATTTCCCTTCAATAACTTGTAAAACTGCTTCATGGGGCAATATGGGTTGTGGTTTCCAGCGCCATGAAGTAGTAGTGTGGATGTTAAGGTGGAATCTGACATCCGTGTATACTTTATTTATGCATACATACATACATACATACAATCATACATACATACATACATACACAATAATGATGATCTGGGACCACTCATCACCACTACCACCATCATTACCCACTCCCGACTCACCACCACTCCTCCCCACCACTCCTCCCCACCACTCCTCCCCACCATCAATAGCGCCTATATCATATCAATCAGGGAGAGAGGGAGGGAGGGGGAGGGAAACAAACCTAATCTAACCAAACCCTTACTATTGAGTATAGTCTGTGCAGGATGACACTAACTGACTGACCACCACCTACCTCCGCGGCCCTTGTATTAGTTCTGTTGCCTCGTGTTCATCACCAAGGAACAATTTCACTTTGTTTTACCTATTTTTTTTTTGGTTCACCTGTGAGTTGGAGCTGAACTTGTCACGATCAACAGCACCGATTGGATTTTTTTTATCGTATTTTTGTTTTTTATTGTTTTTTTTGGTGGTTTTTTTTTTGTGTTTTTAAGTGATAATATTTCTGGCAGTGATGGTGTTTTTTTTTTTTTTAGTTATGGGTTTTTGTTGGTGTATAATAATATCCGGTGTTGGAGAAATTGATGGAGTGTTGGAGGACGATAGTGGAGTTATCGTAAGAGAGGGCTATTGTGCGTTGTCTGTGGCGAGTGAGGACCATTGGCGAGTAATTCTGGTGTTATTTTGATGCGTTCATGTGCGAGTGGTGATAACACACACACACACACACACACACTCCCTAGATCACTGTATGTTTTAGGACCCTGAACTTTCACTATTTCATGACCCTGACGTATGAGGTTTACCCTAGGGGGGGGTTATTATACCAATTTTATTAATTTTCATACATGTTACGTTCCATACACTGCAAATATTTTCTCTTGACAATATTTTTGGTTTTACGTTTTTCACTGGAATGGTTGTGGTTGATGATGCTGTTGTTGTTGTTGTTGTTATATTTTTTGTTGTCATTGTTATTTAATATTGTTATTATTTTTATTATTATTATTATTATTATTGTTATTATTATTATTATTATTATTATCATCATCATCGTTATTATTATTATTATTAAACAACAATACTTAATTTTCTATAGTAATCTTCACTCCTCATCTCTCACCAATTCCACCAACTGTGCCGGTTTGAGCCCAGGGGTGGCGTGAGGTGTATACCTAATGAGCTGGGGTAGCCTCACCTGTGTAATCAAATGCCTTACACGTCGTCTTTCCGGAGCCTCTCTGAGACTCCTCCTGTATCTTCAGGCAGGGAAGGAAGGAGTCTTGTGCTTGTAGGGTAAATTGCTTGGAGTCTTACATCTAAGGGTTGATAAGAATTTTTCCGAAGCAATTATTGGAGGGAGTCTTTCTGCTTGGGAGAGAGTCTTGCTGCTTGGGAGGGAGTCTTGCTGCTTGGGAGGGAGTCTTGCTGCTTGAGAGGGAATCTTTCTGGCGTGTCTTTTGCATGTGAGAGTCTCTTGCTTGCAGGATTGCAGGAGTCTTTACTTTATGAGATGGTGCTGCTTGAAGGAGGAAAATATCGTAAAGAGTTTATGGACTTATGATGAGACGTTTGAGGGAGACTCTTGCTTGAGGAAGACTCGCAACTGAGGGGAGGAAGTCGTGGAAGAAGGGAGGAGGCTCTTGAATGAATCTTGTAGTACCAGGTAACAAGAGAGCCATAGTGCCAGGTAGTACCAGGAGGACTCATAGTGTCAAGTTATACCAATAGCAGTAATACCACTTAGGACAAGGAGCCAGAGGTAGTAGAGAGAAACGAGAGGAGCCAGAGGTAACAGCAGGAGGCAGACCCCGACCGAGTTACTTCAGGAGACCCGGCCAAGCTATTGTTTATTTTCCATTAAAGGCGACTGGACACTTGTAAAGCTGGTTCTGTTTGTCTTTCATTTTCATTAAAGTTAAAATGACGGGTTGAAAAAAAAAAGGACTTGGGGGGAGGGGAGGGGTCATTTTTAAGGGAGTGAATTTTTTAGGGAATATGAAATTGGGTGGTGAGGCGCCCTTAGGTTCTTGCTTCCTTCACCTTCGTATTTCTTTCTTTCTTGGGAGTGTTTATTTTTTTCTCCACGCTTTCTTTCATCTTTGTTTTCTTTCCTTTCTTTCATTCTTTGGTTATTCCCTTCTTTCTTTCTCTCTCTCTTGTTCATCTGTTCTTTCATTCTCATTATTTCTCCATGTATTCATTCTTGTTTTTTACCCCTTCTTTCACTTTTTCATTCATTCACTTATTCATTTTGTTTTCCCTTCCTTCTTTCTTCCCTCATCTATTTATTTTATTTCCCTGCTTCTTTTTTACTTTATGTTCATAACCTTTTTTCTTTCTTTTCTCTCCTTCCTTCCCTCTTTATTTTTTCATTAATATTCCAGTCTTTTATCCCTTGTTATTCTTCCTTCTTTCGTTTCCACCATTCATTCATCCCCTCTTTATTCCCCCCTGTTTCTTGGTATCCATTTACTCTCTTCTTTTACACTTTATCAACCTCTCTTCCTTCTACTCGCGTTCTTCTTCCCATCTACCCCGTTTCTCCGTATCTCCCTTCTTCTTCATCTCTTGTTCTCCTCTCCTCCTTCTTTTCTCCTCATCTTCTATCTCAATTCCCCCTCTTTATTCCTGTATACTTCATGTTACTCTTCCACTCCTTTCACTAGCCGGAACCTCTCTTCACCCACTCACCTCCTCATACCCCAGGTTAGTGTGCCCTCTCACCCACTCTCACTCCCCTCCCACTCACCTCCCACTCACCTCTCCCTCCTACATGCTTCAGTTTACTCTCCCTTCAGCCGCTGTAAGAAGTTTATCAAAAGTTTTAAAAATGTGAGAGTGTAGTCTTGTTTTGTCAGAGGGACTTGCCTAGGGGAGGGGGACTTGCCTAGGGGAGGGGGACTTGGCTGGGAGAGGAGGCACTTGGCTGGGAGAGGGGGCACTTGGCTAGGGGAGAGGGACTTGCCTTGGGGAGGGGGACTTTCCTAGGGGAGGGGGATTTGGCTGGGAGAGGGGTCACTTGGCTAGGGGAGGGGTGACTTGGCTGGGGGAAGAGGGACTTGCCTAAGAGATAGGGACTGGGAGATTCGTATGATTCTCAAATTATCGTAAAATATAGTAACAGTAGAGGCTTCAGGGGTAGGGGGTGGGGGGATAACTTCAACGCTATTTTCAACCACTTTGGAAAGAATTTTAACATAAGAGTCTCTGAGGATCCGAGCCTTGAATACAATCCTCTACATACAGCAACAGTCACGTGTGTTTTAACTCTCCCCTAAGGCTCACCAACTCGGCTTCATCATCATCATCATCCCTAATTCTTACATTATCTTTTCACCACATCATGACGTGACGAACACTTGCTCAGCCAACTCCCAACACGACCAGTAAATCATGTCTCAATGCGCGTTGATATAATCGATGCGCAAGAATATTTATATCATGGTGTATTGTGGCGCTCGCTGACAACTCGAGGCCCAGCTGCATGTAGTAAAATCTCCATAATCCTTTTTTTTAATTAATGCAACGAAATTATACAGTTTAGAATAATTTAATCGTGTTTTCTCTTAGATGATGAAATATGTGTCGCTGAGATTGAAAAGAAAGAAAATGTGTTGGGAATTTTCATAGTGAGATGTACTTTAGAGTGTGGGGGAGATAATTGGCCTCACGTGTTGATGTGGCAGAACTGCGGTTGTGGGGAGACAAAAACTGACCAATCACGATCCATCATAGGGCTGTCAGCGAGGACGTCATCAATCAAGTGACGAGTCCCAAGAAGGATTAGGTGTGATGTCATGGATTTTGACATGGATTTCGGGGTTGTCTAATATCGATAAGTGATGGTTGTTTTATTCAATTTCGGATGAGCGATATGACAAGCCAGCGTAAATGTTGACTCGCCTGAAATATTAAATTTTCACCTCCATGTGTTGACAGAAAGAATGGAGAATTTGAACCCTTGTGTGATAGTTTAACGACACTCAATCCATCGCTGGAGGAGTCGTCATCGTCATACACCGAGCAGTTACTGTGGTCATGGAGAGCTTCTGACCTCTAGCGCTGATAAAGAGTCCAACTCACTGGTGTACTGTGCAAGATAACACCACTCTGATGGCGGTATACAACCTTTATTCCCGCTGTGTGAAAGATGGCCACGGCTGGCAGGCAAAAGTCAGGCGAGCGTTAGTCTGCTGTTGACGACCATTAGTGTAGGTGAACACCGGGCGCTGTTTGTTGCTCTGTGTATATTATTGGCCTTAATATAAGAGTTAAGACTTATATAATGAATGAAGAATCTGGGAGTAAGTTGTGTTCCCTGAGGTGGAGCACCACCACACACCTGGAGCACCAATAGCATGGTGATCCTTGCTGTCTGTCGCTCGGCGTGGGTCTAGCTGAGTTAAGCTTAATGGTAAATAGTGAATGTTGAGTACTGTACCTGCCAGGGGTCAAGTGTTAGTGTTTGACTTAGATGATTCATTATAATCTTCCCGACCCTCAGATCCAGCCTCTGGCAGGCCCCCTGGAGGGCGGCACACTGGTCACCATAGAAGGCAGCAACCTGGGGCTGCGGGAGGAGGATGTGCGAGGCAAGACCTTCATCGGCGAAGTGCCCTGCCACGTGCATGAATACCACGTGTCTGTCAAGATCACGTGCCGCACGGGGAAGGCGCCACTACGTGGTATATCTGCTGCCACTCAAGATCTCCAGTTTCCTGTCAGTGTGTCCACGCCGGCCGGTACCACCACCTCTACCGTCAAGTTCACATACACCGTAAGTACCGTTGATGGGAGGGTTCTCACAAGAGGTTGAAGTGATACTTTGATTTTATATTTTTATTTGGAGTTTTGTCTACTGTACACTTGCATCCTATCTCCAGAACGTGACCGTGACGGATGTGTGGCCGAGGCACGGACCAGTGTCGGGAGGTACTGTGCTTTCCATCAGCGGCCGCTTCCTCAACGTGGGCTCCCACGTGTCCGCCACACTCGATGACCTTCCTTGTATCGTCAACAAGACGCAGTCGTCGTCGCACCGGCTTGTATGTGTGACCTCCCGAGCGACTGCGTCGGGTGACAGCAGCGATGAAGGCGATGGACCACTAAGGATCGTGCGCAAGCTGACGGTGACAGTGGACAGTGCAGAACGTTATCTCGCCTCTCCTTTCACATACAAGCCAGACCCAAGAGTCCTCGAACTCAAACCACGTCGAAGTCCTTGGAGTGGTGGCCGCATGCTGACTGTACACGGGACCCAGTTAGACGCTATACAGGCTCCCCGCATCACTGTACTACTGCAGGACCGCATTCTTAACTCCTCTGGGTGTCGTGTCCTGGGGCCTGACCAGATGGAGTGCCCCTCACCCCCCGTGGATCGTAAGGCTCTGCTGGCGCTGCTTCGGGAGAGGAGAGACGCCCACGACGACGACGACGACAGGAGAGATGCCCACGACGACGACGACGACAACCCAAGAGCGGAGGCCAGAGTGTCCCATAAAGTCTCCAGGTTTGTTTACTTGGGAATTATTTTATTTAGTGGACTTACAGGTAAGCTAGTAACAATTAATGGTAAAAATAATATTTCTTCCTCAATTTCTTATCTTTTAAAGACAGTAGTGAGGATCTGCTTGAAGAACAGTGACTTAGAATAATATTAAACTGATGGTCTTGATATAAACAGGAACTGAACTTATGGTTATGTCCACTCACACACACTTGCTCCCGCACTCAGGTCCCCACGTCAGAACTACGGAGACTCCATCGCCCTGGACGTCGGCTTCATCATGGACAACGTGGCTTCTGTCAGGAACTTGAGGCACGTCTTGTCTTCCTCTGCCCGCTCCCTCGTCTACGTTCTCGACCCCACCTACAAGGAGTTCCCCAACAGCATCAAACTCTATAAAGGCGACACACTCGTCATAGAGGTGAGTCTCTTGTCTGGAGGAATGTCATTACACACTCAATAGTCATGGGGATTATTGCCATCATTACATACACATATATTAAAAGATCTGTTGGTATGGTTATTTGTTGTTGTGTTTCAGGGCGAGAATCTTAACTTAGCCAGCGATGAGTCAGACGTCAACGTGACCATTGGGACCCGCCAGTGTAACGTGACGTCCCTGGCCCTGACGCAGCTGGTGTGTACTCCCCCGGAGGTCCAGCCGCCCCCAACTGACGAGCTTGGTCACTCCACAGAACACGACCTCCCTCTAGTGGTAGTCAGGATGGGCCAAAACCTCAGATTTCCCATTGGATATCTTCGCTACGAGATGATCAAGGTCCGTGATAATTTGTCTCGATTCAGTAGTTTCCAGAATGAATTATTTTGATGTGTGTCTTCCCAGTAACTGTCATTAAGATCGTTATATTTACCTCTTTAACTGTGTGTGTCTGCAGGAGTACCAGTTCCCACCTGAGGCCATAGGAGGGATGGCAGCTGGCGGGTTGTTCCTGGTGTTAGTGTCGATGGTTATCCTGGTGGTGTATCGCCGCAAGAGTAACCAGGCTGAGCGAGAGTACAAGCGTATCCAGATCCAGATGGACACCCTTGAGTCCAACGTCCGCTCCGAGTGTAAACAAGGTGAGTACCAGGTGTTATTGAACTCAAGTGTACTCGAGGTTGAGTCAAGTTTTATATATATATAAAGTTTCTGACGTCATCGCCCATAGTAAAAACAGAGTGGATGTCAATTGAGTGAATGTTAATTATCTTCTTACGTCACGATATTATAAAGTAGTTGAGTAATTAGGGACAAAAAAAAATCGATATTCAAAGAGCTTTTATGTGTATGAAATATATATTTTGCCTGTGTTTACATGGAATGGTCTCACAAAACACAACAATATTCTTATCATATATTCCTCTTAACCAAACTTTTAATTCTTCGACATAAAAAAAAAAAACAGAACATTATTATAAACCTGAAATTACCCCGAGAGAGAGAGGATATTACCTACAGGTCAGACCCTAAAAAAAAAATATATATATACTGACCAACAAAACAGGTAGATCAATATTGCAGACTTGAGAGAGGGAGATTATCATTAATTCTTTTGATATCTGGTGTTCGTTGCAGCGTTTCTTCAGATGTGCACACAAGATGACCTGGATGACTATGGTATATATATTCAACATATATTTTTCACCCTTTTCACCCCTTCCCTCCCTCCCTCCCTTCTTCTTCCTCCTCCTCCTCTTCTCCCTCTTCCTCTTCACTAGACTTTATTTTTTAATTGCCTTTTAAATCCCTCACTGTCCATGTGATATGCTTAAACTATAATCCCATTTCCCTTAACACAAAAATGAAATATGTTTTGGAGTGTCCCAGAGCATGTTATTACCGTCTACTCATGCTGGAGAGAATTGTTTTATTATGTATTTATTTATTTTATACAGGACATTATTATTATTTAACTTGTGGTGTTTTGTGCTCACACCAGAAGAGGAAGTTAACAGGTTTTAATAACACTTAACTAATAGTAGAATTGGTTTAATTACTGAAGGTGGTGGTGATAGTTTAATGAGTAGTAGTACGCCAAGTAACTTCTCCAATGATACGTGTTAGTGTAAGTTTGTTGAGTGTTGCAAGAATAACTCACACCACAAGAGGAGTAAGTTAGTTAGTTGAGGTTTATAAATACCACACACACCTAACAAACTAGTTCCATCGTGTCTTGGGTTTACATCACACGAGGAGGAGTTAGCAGTGAGAGAGAGAGAGAGTAGGGTGTGTGTTGTCACTAAAACCCCGGCGGACGTGGGAGTCACTTTAAAAGAGCCTCATTGCCTCTTTGATCGCTTGGTCCCTGTGTGTTGGGTAGTGGAATTAGATTTAAATTGAATTTGGCTGTTTTATAACCCGTGACTTTGTGTGTAGCCGATGATAACATTAGTTCAGGTTTGTTTGTAGTACCGGGTTTGTTTGTAGCTCGTGTTAATAGTTTTTTTGTTTCCTTTTTCGGGAATAAATGCATTAGGCGTTGGTAAAGGGGGGGGGGGGGGGTGGGGAGTTGTGTTTGTTGTTTACGTTATAAGGAGAGAATCTGATTATTTATAGGACCCGGTGAGTACAGTTGGGTGTTTTTTGTGGGTGGGTCAGGTGCTGTTGATTCACTTGGGGGTACAGAGTTAATTTTGTTAACCGAGAAGTAAAGTAGATTCTGTGGCAATATATCTATGCTTTTTTGTTTTTGTAGTTGTTGACCAGATACACTCTTAATTGACAGTATTAATTACTATTGTTTTTTTGTTTGTTTTTATTTGATGTAATGATAAGAAACTTGTATTAATAATAGTATGCGTCCAAACTCTTTCTGAAATATATTAATTTGATTTTGTCAATTTAGAGTTCTAATAATGGAATCTTAAAGTAGCCATGGGGATCAAATAGTAGAGTTACCCAATCTCGTGGCTTAACATTTTCTTTGGTAATGAAAGCATACAACACCCACACTCCGTTTTCTATGTATTAGGGACAAACTTAGCCATTAGGTACACGGGGGGTGGGGGCAGGCGTCCCTTTGATCTGTTGAGTCCACTGTTTGGCCTCATATGTGTTTGTGTATCTATCCATCTATGTGTCTATATGTATTTCATCAGAATATCTTGAATAACGAATGAATCAATTCGGTGTAAATTTGCTCACTCACAGGTAACAGAGACAGGCGAGTGATTTTTTTTTTTATTACAAATGGATCAAATTTCAGAATTACTCTCAGGTGGTGGTCATAACGTTATCACACCAAAGTATATAGCTAAGATAAAGGTTTCACACTATATAACATTAACGATCTGTGGACAAATTAGAGGCTGTACCGAAAATTGATCTTGATACATAATTATTCAAATCAACACGAAATTCCCCACTCTGTATATCAGTGGTTCAGTGTGGAGCAAATAATGAAAACCGATAAATATATTTACTTTTAAACTCTCTATGTGTGTTAGGTAATGTAGCCTGATAAAGCACATTCAGCCTGTGACATGTTTTTGCACCGTTAACGCTTCCGAATCTCCTGTTATATACACCTGTCCTGTTGCGTACACCTGTCTTCTTGTTACGTACACCTGTCCTCTTGTTGCGTACACCTGTCCTCCTGTTGCCGAGTCTCTTACCTGCACACCTGTTCTTGAATTAATAAACTCAAGATGGAATGTTTTTTTTTTTTATATATATACACACAAGTCCCGTGTTGGTGGTTGTGTTGCGTGACGGCACAGAGGGCAGCACCGTACACGTCATTAGTGAACTGTGTGTGTGTGTGCTGGTGCAGTTTAGGTTATCAGAGAAGCGTATATGTTTAGTAGCGCCTGGCTTTTATGTGCTCGTTTTTCATTGTTATTTACTCTGTATTATGTAGTTTCAGAGTTGTTTTCATATTGATATCTCTAGTTACATGGTAGTCTGTATATATTAAAGGGAAATTCGTTTTTGTTCTTAGTTTATGTATTGTTAACATGAGGGAATGCGATACCATCTTGGAAATTCCGTCGGCGCCCACATGCCAGTCCGCCATGATACACAAAATGGAAGGGATTTTGTGGTATAGATTTATTCCACTCTTAGTCACATCAGGAAGGTCAATATTAGCGATATTTATTGTTAACAGTGAGAAGCGGTTTGTTGTGAAGGTAAGTTTGGGTAATATATTTCCTGGACGAGTGGCGAGGCTGGGCAGACTTTGCGAATAATAACACACATCAACACTTTTATTGCCCATAAATTTTAGTGGAGGGCATCCCCGGCTGGCTCGGCACACGTTACACCAATACCGAAAATTGGCTAAAAATATGCCGCTAAATCGATTGGATTTCTCGGAGGTTTTTGCATGAAACGATCATTACTGAAACAACCTGGAGATTTATTGTTTTCATATTTCTGATTGAAAATTGGTTGAACGATACAAGACAGTTGGGTGGGATTAGTGGCTGTATTAACACCAAGTACAATTTACTAAAACGTGTACTGTACTTGATCCGAATATTTCCTGTTGATCCTTGTTAACGGGAAATATAAATTAATGTTTTGTTGTTAGAGTTTTAAATTAAATGATACTTACTGTTTAATTTCGTAATTGACAAATAGATCCAGAGTTCAGATGCTTCAAACATGTCAACATTTAATTCAGTGTGTTAACTAATTAATGGATGGATATATATATATATATATATATATATATATATATATATATATATATATATATATATATATATATATATATATATATATATATATATATATATATATACACGGGTGTTACTCTAATATCTGTATCAACTTGTTTTCATTGGATTTATATATTTTATACTAATGAAATATTACAGTAGGCAGTAACCACACCACAATTTTGAAGGAAAAACATTGAACACTGTGTAGATCGTATTAGTGCCTGGCATATATATATATATATATATATATATATATATATATATATATATATATATATATATATATATATATATAAACTTGAATGTAATAGCATTTTTAACTATATGTAATGATCAATTGAAGAAAATGTTCATCCGTGTAACAATGTTTTCCTCAAGTACCTTTGGTCGTGGATGATCACATCCTCTGAACACAGACGAAAAATAGAAAAAACTAAAACAGTTATTGGTTTATATACAGTGCATGGCGCCCTGACTACTGCACACACACACACAACCATTCCAATAATATTCATAACAGAGTGAAACGTGGAGGGTGTGTGGCCGGAGGAGGGGAGGGGGGAACTGGCCACTGAGGGTGTGTGGCCGTGGGGGTGTAGGGAGGGGGGGCTGGCCACTGCTCAACTTTACCACCATTTCTTCATCTTGTTAACCACTACTACGCGCTCTCTCTTTACACAACTAGTTCATGTGTCTTGTTGCTGCCTGTCCTGATTGTCTGCTTCTCTACTCTCGTGAAGTTCTGTACACACCCCTACACACACACCCCACACACACACACCCCACACACACACACACACACACCCTTCACACACCCTACACACACACACACACACACACACATAGAAACTTTGTATTTATCGTGATCTCATTTACGGATTTGAAGACAAAATACCCCTTTAATCTCTCTTATCTCCTCCCCTTTCTTATCCCCTTTGGTAACATTGATAGAGCTTCACACAGACAGACACTAACCTCAGTATCTCCCTCTTGACAGCGTTCGCGGAGCTACAAACGGACATGACAGACCTGACAGCTGATCTGGAGTCTTCAGGCATCCCCACCCTCGACCACCGCAGCTACGTGATGAAAGTGTTCTTCCCTGGCGTCACCGACCACCCCATCCTTAACGACCCCAAGGTAAGACCCGACCACCCCATCCTTAACGACCCCAAGGTAAGACCCGACCACCCCATCATCCACCCAAGGTAAGACCCGACCACCCATCCTTAACGACCCAAGGTAAGACCTGACCACTATCCTTAACGACCCCAAGGTAGACCAGACCACCCCATCCTCTAACGACCTCAAGGTAAGACCCGACCACCCCATCCTTAACGACCCCAAGGTAAGACCCCACCCCATCCTTAACGACCCCACAAGATCTGTCACCCCATCCTTAACGACCCTAAGGTAGACCCGACCACCCCATCCTTAACAACCCCAAGGTAAGACCTGACCATCCCATCCTAACGACCCCGTAAGACCCGACCATCCCATCATAACGACCCCAAGGTAAGACCCGACCACCCCATCCTTAACGACCCCAAGGTAAGACCCGACCACCCCATCCTTAACGACCCCAAGGTAAGACCCGACCACCCCATCCTTAACGACCCCAAGGTAAGACCTGACCACCCATCCTTAACGACCCCAAGGTAAGACCCGACCACCCCATCTCCACGACCCCAAGGTAAGACTCCGACCACCCCATCCTTAACGACCCCCAAGGTAAGACCTGACCACCCCATCCTTAACGACCCCAAGGTAAGACCTGACCACCCCATCCTTAACGACCCCAAGGTAAGACCTGACCACCCCATCCTTAACGACCCCAAGACCATCCCATCCCATCCTTTTGACCCCAAGGTAAGACCGACCCCATCCTAACGACCCCAAGGTAAGACTGACCACCCCATCCTGAACGAATTTCAAGGTAAGACCTGACCACCCCATCTTTAACGACCCCAAGGTAAGACCAGACCACTCATCCTAACGACCCCAAGGTAAAGACCTGACCACCCCATCCTTAACGACCCCAAGGTAAAGACCCGAATTCACCCCACCTTAACGACCCTGCAAGGTAAGACCCGACCACCCATCCTTAACGACCCCAAGGTAAGACCCGACCACCCCATGACCACCCCATCCTTAACGACCCCCAAGGTAAGACCTGACCACCCCATCCTTAACGACCCCAAGGTAAGACCCGACCACCCCATCTTTAACGACCCCAAGGTAAGACCTGACCACCCCATCCTTAACGACCCCAAGGTAAGACCCGTCACCCCCATCTTAAAACTATATAACACTACTATGTTGTCTCTTAATGATCTCATAAGGACCTGCACAGTTGCCTTGATCTCTCATAAGGCGTGGGTAGTATATAGGTGTACCTCCGTCAACACTTAACTTCATCACACCTTCTGGAGACAGCGAGAGCCAACAGACGAGCTGCCGTGAAGGTCGTGGTGGTGGTGTTACTTATGTACAAGTTTATTGGAATTTTTCTCATAAGATCATTTAAAGAATTTATTTAAGCGTAGTGTCTGCAACAGGTATTATGGTAGTTTTTGAGGTTTGTCCAAGTCTACTGAAAATTGTATTAGTTTTAGGCTTTCAAAAAAAATATAAATAATGAAATGGTAGAGTGGTATACAGTACTTATGTTCCCTCTTCTTCACTACAGCTTCGCATGAATGGGTGTCGACCAGCCATGGACAGCGCCATGATCCAGTTTGAGCAACTCATCACCAACAGATACTTCCTGCTGGCCCTCATAGAGACGCTCGAGGCCCAGAAAACTTTCAACATTAGAGACATGTAAGTTGTGGCGGGGACGAGGCAGAGGTGCCGCCTGACAGCTGTCTCCTCTCTCCCAGCCCATACATGACAGGCCATGTTAGGTTCCTTGATCACACAAGTTTTATCTAGATATTCTTAAAGGAGAACTTGAAGAAAAAGCAGCTGTTTGGCTTTAAACTTTATTCTTTATGCAGGGTGTCTACTGGTCTGTAAAACTTGGAAAAGGCGGGGAATTTTATTTGGGGCTGGAAAACCTGGAAAAAAAGGGAATTTTACAAAAAATCTGGAATTTCTTTTGTGATTTCAATTCAACTTCAAAATATTGTTATTTTGACAACAATCATAGCATAAGTTAATGCTGTACTGTACAACAGGTAAATAATTATACTTTTAGGAACAAGGAGAAAAATATGGAGGGTGGGTGTCAAGGTTCATCACTAGGCCTGGTGGGTGTCACGAAAGGATCTTCAATTTATTGATTAATATCATTTATTTCATCTTTAAATTTTCCAATAGTTTATAGAATACATATTATTGAAAACCTCTAATTTTGTTATTCTGTCGTAATAAATACCGAATTAATGGACCTGGAAAAGTCAGGGAATTTTGTTTTGTCTGGCCAGTAGAAGCCGTTATATCAACATGGTCTCCTCAACTTGGCGTAATACATGACAGAAAACTTGTGGTGTGCGAGCATCCGTGTTTATATAGGGACCGACCACTCCCTCAGGACCACCTTGTCGTACCTGGAGTACTTGTTACTCTTGTGTTCTTTCTCCCGTGCAGAGTGAACGTGGCGTCACTGCTGGTGGTGGCCATGGCGGGGAGGATGGAGTACCTGACGGAGATCCTGCGCCTCCTGCTGCTGCGCCTCATTGACAAGAGTGTGGCCACCAAGCACCCGCAGCTCATGCTCCGCAGGACAGAGAGCGTGGTGGAGAAGATGCTCACTAACTGGATGACTTTGTGCATGTACACATACCTCAAGGTTGGTGGACCTGTCAATCCCCCGCCTCCTTCCAGTTGAGGGAACTGGATGGATCAATTTAGCTTTAATGGCTGGGAAGTTTAACAACTCTGGAGCTGCAGGAAAGAGTTGCCACGACTTTAATAGACCCAGCGCCGCCTGACTCTAAACTGTAAAGAGCATCTCATGGGTTATATATCCCTGAACAGTTGACTTTAAAATGATACTCCCCAATTTTACCCCTAGAGCAGGCGGCAGTGATTGAGCTTCCCTTCTTCAATATATATAAGTCAATGGTTTAACTCATCTTAAGTTACTAACATAATAGTCTGTCAATAAATGGTTGTAAGAGGAGTAATATTAATACATACCGGAAGTGCGACGGTAGAACCCTGATGACACTGCTGTCCCGCCTTTACAGGAGCAGGCGGGCCCCTCGCTCTTCCTGCTGTACAAGGCCATCAAGCACCAGGTGGAGAAGGGACCCGTGGACGCCCTCACCCACGACGCCCGCTACTGCCTCTCGGAAGAGCGCCTCCTGAGGGAACAGATTACTCACTCCTACGTTGTAAGTACAAAAGAGAGAGTGTTAAACCTTCCTTCACCTAGTTTTTGTCTGTGTGTAACTGACCGAGTAGATCACACGCTTCTCTGCCTATTGTAAGAACAGAATGTCGAAAACCACACTACCCGAATTGTTCCCTCACTTACATGAATAACAGGTAGAGAAACTGTGTGTGTGTGTGTGTGTGTGTGTGTGTGTGTGTGTTGTAGCAGCAGCAGCAGCATCAGCGGGCCTCCTCCACCCCAGGACGGCAGCAACAACACTTCATGTGTCGCTCCGGTTACCTATGCAAATTGACTATGCAAATATTCTCTGTCACTGTGGATATGATTGTTTTATGTTGTTGTTTCTGCATACTTATTCCGTCCCTGTTGCTGGTGACTGTCTCCTGTTGCTGGTGACTGTCTCCTGTTGCTGGTGACACTGTATCCCTCTGGTAGTGAAAGTTATCAGACTGTATCAAGCTCTTAGTGACTGTACCCATCTTCACTGTACTGACGATGGGTTACAACTGACTTAGTGGTACTGTAATAATATATTGTTAAGGTATTATGGTGTACTGGTATGTAGAGATATACATACAGTCATTCCCCACTCATATGTGAAGCCTTTATTCTCGCCAAGTCTAATGGAGTATTGAAAGTAAGTCACCATCCCCACCATTACCACTCATCACTACCTCAGTGACGGTGACAGGAAGAAGGAGAAGGCTGCCTTGCCCTGGGGAATTGATGTAATTTTCTGAGTGGTTCCTGCTAAACACGTCCTTAGAGGGGTGGAAAAGGGAAGGGCAACTATGGGAGGGGGTCAAGGGGATTGATAGGGAGGATGGAACATAAGGGATTGGTGGGTGGGGAGTGGGGAGTTATCAATCAGGCTGGCGTAGTGATATTTATTTTCGGTGTTAATAGATGCAGTTGTGGAAAGGGAGGTAAGGGGCGGTAAAGGGAGGTAAGGGGCGGTAAAGGGAGGTAAGGGGCGGTAAAGGGAGGAGGGCAGGGTTTTGTCATGGTGGTAAGAGGAAGAAGGGAGAGGAGGAGAAGCCGTATTTGATTGATTAACTTAATTAAATCATGTGGGAAGTTTCACCACAGTGTGGCAAGGGAACTTGTGGTGTGCTGCTTCAATCACCTCACCTCGCCCATCACCTCCCTCATGTCACCTCTCCTCGCCGTCACCTCTCCTCGCCGTCACCTCTCCCTCGCCGTCACCTCTCTCACCGTCACCCTCTCTCCTCGCCGTCACCTCTCCACGCCGTCACCTCTCCTCGCCGTCACCTCTCCTCTCTACCCCCTAGCACCATCATCCCCACACAACCTCCACACCATCCCCCACACACCACCACACCACCACCCCCAGTACTACCACCACCCCAGTACACTACCACCACCCCCAGTACACCACCACCACCCCAGTACACCACCACCACCCCAGTACACCACCACCCACCACACCACCACCACCACCACCACCACACACCACCACCACACCACCACCCCAGTACACCACCACCAGCCCCACACCACCACCACCACCACACCACCACCACCCCAGTACACCACCACCACCACCACCCCAGTACACCACCACCACCACCCAGTACACCACCACCAGCCCCACACCACCCCCCAGTACACCACCACCACCCCCAGTACACCACCACCACCCCAGTACACCACCACCACCCCCAGTACACACCACAACCACCTACCACCACCCCACACTGCCACCAGCCCTCCGCCCCACACTAGCCAACCCTCCGCCCCACACCACACCACCACCCCGACACTACCACCACTACCCCCACACCACTACCACACTTCTCACACCACCCCCACTACAATAATGTGTGTTTTATACTTCTGATAATCCAACTGTTAATGAAGACCCATTATTGTTATTATATTAGTCAAGGAGAAATGTATAGAGATATCTGACTAGGTAAATTTATTCAACAAAATTCGTAATCTGAAGTAATGTCTTACCCCTATTTCTAACTAGATATACCGTGGGAAGGAATTCACTATACACCCGTACGACTACAGAGAAACGTCCATCAGTCTTACCGCGCCCAGTACTGTCGTCGCCAGCCTACGCCATATGACCCGACCCACCACACCTAACGCGGTGCCTCACTGGGCACTTTTCCTCCCAACCGTGCTGGACTCGCACTGTCCGGCCAGCAAAACAAAGAGACTTTGCGTCACACTGGGTTGTTTTTGTTGGCGCGTCTGACCAACGCAACGAAAACTACAACAAAGCGTCTAGACGAGGTTCTCCATAGATACCGTTACAACACTTGAGCCTTGCAGCATTGTGCAATAGTTCTTCAATTGCAGCGGCTGGCAAGTGTGCCGCCGCCATAAAAGACTGTACATGAAACATTATCTCTTAGCTGTAGAGAATATTCGGAGTGTTCCATCACAGTTTTTCACTATCATATTCTCCGCACCACCACTACTCACCTCCCCCTACCACCACCACCACTTCCCCCTACTACCACCACTTCCCCCTACCACCACCCCCCCCTCTACCACTTCCCCTACCACTTCCCCCCACCACCACTTCCCCTACCACCACCACCACTTCCCCCTACCACCACTTCCCCACCACACACACTCCACCGCCGCCATTACCTGTGTCTGTATACTTCCTCTTTCTTACTTACTTACCTCTTATATACCTCTTTTCTCTTGTATCATCATATGCCATAATTGCACATCATATATGCCATTTTTTATCTTATGTAAATTCATCATGTAAATTAATCATACCTCTGTAGTAATCTTATATGCCATCTGCATCTTTACTCTGCATGGTACCATCTTTATATTAATCTTTACTCTTAATCTTTACTCTTAATTTAATCTTTACTCTTAGCAGGTACCATGTAGCAAAATTTCATCCTGTAGCAAATTTAATCTTTATATGTGGTACATTTAAATCTTTATCTTACTTAAAATTCGTCTTTATATTATGGTTTAAATCTTTATGGTGTCTTTATAATCTTTAAAATCTTTATCATAGCAAGGTACGTCTTGGCAAGGTGCAAATCTTTTTATCTTAGCAAGATTTTAATCTTTTATATTAGCAAGAATTTAAATCTTTACTCATAGCAGGTGCAAATCTTTTACTCATGCTTAGGGTAAAATCTTTATATTAGCAAGTTTAAATCTTTTTATAATGGCAGGAATTTTAAAAATCAAATAATATTGTGGGGTTCAAATCATATTGGCAGAATTTTAAATCTACTCTTAAGTTTTAATCTTTTTACTCTTGGCCAAAATTTAAAATCTTTCTTGGCAAAGGTGCAAATCTTTTGATATGTGGCAATTTTTAAATCTTTGGTATGTGGCCAGGGTGTAAATCTTTGGTATGTGGCGTTTCAAATCTTTGGTATGTAGCAAGTTTCAAATGGTATGTAGCAAGATTAAAATCATCCAATGCCGTGCCCATCTTTATGTATGGCCCATCACTCTTACTTAATTTAATCATCATTCATCCTTTCTTACTTAAGTGGTAATTTTACCTCTTGTAGTACAATTTACCTCATATATTGTTTACCTGTATGAGCTGTTCTTTATAGCAAAATTGTTTACCTCTTGTGGTACAATTTACACTTAATTTTATCTTTTATATTAGCAAAATTAATGTCTTTTCTTAAATCGTTTATCTTTATATGGTACCATCATCTTAGCAAATTGCTCTTTATATATTACTTGGTACAAATCTCATCTTTACTCTTATAGTAATCATCTTTATATTATGATGCCGTCATCTTTACTCTGCTTAAAATTTTAATCATCTTTACTCTTACTTAGAAATTTAATCATCTTTCTTAGCAAATCATCTTTAACATAGTACCGTCATCTGTAGCAAGTAAAATCATCTGTAGCAGGTACCATCATCTTTATATAGCAAAAAGTTAAATCATCTTTTTATCTTAGCAAGAGTGTAAATCATCTTTATCATGGCAAGGTACCGTCATCTTTACTCAGCAAAGTACCAAATCATCTTTACTCTTACTTAGGTTGTAATCATAGCAAAGGTACAAATCTTAGCAAATTTTAAATCATAATGGCAAATCACTCCTTGGCAAGGAATTTAAATCTCCTTGGCAAGACAAAATCATAACATGAGGCTAATCAGGTCATGGTGCAAATCTCATTTTGAACAAATCTCATGGGGAATTTCGTTGCTTGGTGCCAAATCATGTATGGTGTAAATCATCTTATGGTACCCAAAATCATATACTTACCCAAATCATACTTGAAATTTAAATCATCTTTTCTTGCTTAAAATTTATCATCTTTCCTACCACCACCACTCATCCCTACCCACCACCACTTCCTGTTTTCTATAAAATTTCAAATATTCGTTTTTTATGATAAAATATTATTTTTATTTTATTTTATAAAAATAAATTTCATTTTCTTAATAAATTACAGCTTCATTTTCTGTAATCAAATTTCGCTTCATTTTCTACATAATAATTAACATTTTTATTTTATTTTAAAATTAAATTTCCATTTTCTGATAAAATTCGCTTCCGTTTTCTATAATCAAATTTCAACTTCCTTTTTCTATGATAAAATATTTTATTTTATAAATAACCCTACATTTTTCTATAAATTCTTCATTTTCTATGATAAAATTCAACTTCCCGTTTTCTATAATAAATTTCAGCTTCCGTTTTCTATGATAAAATATTTTTTATTTTTTTTTATAAAAATTAAATTTCCGTTTTCTTATGATAAAATTCAGCTTCGTTTTCTATGATAAAATTCAGCTTCATTTTCTATGAAATTTCCTTCGTTTCTAAATAAAATATTATTTTTATTTTTTTAAAATTAAAATTTCATTTTCTATAAATTCGCTTCATTTTATGATAAAATTCCCTTCCGTTTTCTATAATAAAATTTCCTTCCCGTTTTCTGTGATAAATATTTTTTTTATTTTATAAAAATTAAATTTCCATTTTCTATGATAAATTCAACTTCATT